ATTATGAATATCAACCATATCAAGTAAAGTAGATGCATTAAGATAAGTACAAATAGGTGATTGACATCGAATTGTATTTTCAATACCACCATAGTAATTTAAAAAATTTACGCCACTAGTTCGATTTTTAATCATACATTCAATACGTTCATCAGTTGGTATAAGATCATCAAATGTATCTTGATAAGAATTAATATTATGTGGAAGATCATCTTCTGGATGAATATTTGTATTAATAGAAGTTGATGTTTGAAGAATTAATGATTCATCATATTTATTATTATTATTATTATTCATTTCTTTAAAACTATTTAATGTTGAAATATCATCAATTGATGATGTACGACATATTCGATTACTATTATGATTAACAAGACCTAAAGCACGACGACGTTGTGTTGAAATTGGTGTTGTAAATTTATTTTTATTAAAACGAATTGGTGTTGTTACTGATTCTGAACATATTTGTAAATCATTCATACTTGTTGTACCAATAAATTTAAGGTGTTTATTATTATTATTATTTGAATATGAAGCTAAATCATTCAATGTTGCAGATGATAACATACCATTACGTACTAAAATTTGATTTAAATCATTTTAAAACAACGTATTTATATATGAGATCCTTGAATAATATCCTTCAGAGTGACCATCCAAGCTTGAAAAATTTTCGTCTTTCTCTAATAGAATTCCAGCGATTTATTGCTTACCAATGCCACAAAAAGAAATCCGCTCAATCCCTCTCCATGCCAGTCTTGGTGATATCAGAACATTCCTGAATATCCTAAAAATAATTGCTCATAAAACGTCAGGAATTTATCATGGTTGAATAAAGGTTGTCGGATTGCCTATAGGAATGTTAGTTTTGACATATTCAGACGATATTTTTGTAGTGAAACTTAGATTTTAAAAAAAACCAGAAAAACCTATAAAAATTGAAGTATACCAAAAGCATCAAGTCTCAATATTTGCTTTGGTTTTACTCGTCATATAGTTAGGAAAAAAAAAACAATTATCCATGTTTTTTGAAAAATATTGTTTGATTATTGAAAAAAAAATCAATTTTTTCGATATGATAGCAAAAGAGCCATAAATACAGGTTTGCATTCAACACTTTTGACCATCAGAACATTAGTTCGGAAAGAAATGAATATTACATTTAGAATCAACGCAAAAATCCACATCAGATAGTCTAAGGTCGAAATTTGACAAAAGTTAAATTCGAGTATTGAGCATGTTATTCGACGCCGATTTTTGCGTTACTTCTGATATTCGTCTCTTGCAGAACTGAAGTTCTGATGGTCACAATCGTTGAATACAAATCCGTATCTGTGACTTTTTTTATTATCATATTGAAAAAAAAACGATTTTCACAACAATCAAATAATATTTTTCAAAAAGCATGCATAATTATTTTTCCTAACTATATGACAAGTGAAACCAAAAGAGATATTTGATTAAATATTGAGACTTGATGCTTTTGGTGTATTTCAGTTTTTATAGGCTTTGCTGATTTTTTTAAACCTAAGTTTCACTATAAATCGCCGGTGTCTTGCACAGATTCAGTTCAAGACCTATCTACAAGAATTTATCTTTGTTATTGTAATAAATGAGTAAACGACTCTAATGACTAATTATATTTTATCGATTTTTCAGTCTCGTTAATTAATTAGATTCAAATCAAACTGAAATTCAATGATCAGAGCTTTCTTTATCAGAAAAAAAAACATGCGGAAGAAAATGCCACAATGTTTACTGACTCTGAAGCTCTCACAACTTCACTTTCCAACATCATAGAATGAAAAAAAACCTGTTAAGGGAATTTCTGCAGGATTAAAATGTGAAACACGATATAACTGCTGTAATTAATAACAGAAAGATTGTTTTATTTTATCTATTTTGAATACATTTCTTCAGCATCCTTTCACCTAATCCTCCAGAAGTGTAACTAGGAAGTAGTTCATAGATTATAACGAGAGGTTATTTATATACAGTCTATGGTCATATATTAACAACGTTTGTCGCACACGCTGGGGAAAGCATTGCTAAGAACGTCTGTAGTCTCTCTGATGACTGAGTGATCTTTATTTGAATGATAGATATTTTCGTCATAATACAAAGTTCATTATTTATTACTTACGTGGTGTACGTAATGGATTACGAAGTGGTGTTTTAAATAAAGAAAAATCATAGCCATTCTCTTTAATTCTTGCTGCTGTCGTCGTCATTCTATTTGTATATTTATTAAAACAAAAATGATCTAAAACAATAAAAAGTTGATCAATAGTTTTACTTCATATAATCATATTCTATCATTCTTTTATCTTCTGCGTGATTTTCAAAATACTTTTTTTTCTATTTAATATTGAACTTGTATTTTGTTTAAAGATATTTTACAGTTCTTATGAATATATCAAATAAATCGAACAACATATCATAGATGGACAATGCACAAGAGTTAATCTTATGGTATATATACAATCTTAAAATATATGTTTTCTTATTTCAAAGACAAAAATCAGCTTTATCATAGAAAAAAAAACAAAAATAATAATTAAGAACAAACACACGAAGAAAAAAGTAATGTTTGTTTTGTCATTAGGTTTATATTTATTGATTCATAGGATCTGGTTGTGGTGATGGGCCCGTTGCATTTGCATCTTGTGTTGTTGGAACTGTTCCTGCTTGACCTTCAATAGCATTTGGAGCATTTAAACCTTCACCGGGTGGATCATAGGAAATATTGAACATTTCTCGTACTTCTGACGATGATTTACCACGAACCATATTGGCAATTGTTTTACAACCAACAGCAAGTAATGTTTTTATACCTAAATAATTAGCTGCCTATGAAAAATAAAACAAATATTAGAATTTTATTTTGATTGAAAACAAAAATAAAAAACTTACCATAATAATATCGAAAAGTGTACCTTCTGCTACAGTAAATTGTTTAATAAAATTTTGATCCCATTCAATAATATCATCCGAACTGAAATTTTAAAAAAACGACAAAAAGATTATATATTTTATTTTAATTTTTAAGAAAATAATTTCTACCGTTTTGGTTCATAAATATCTTTATTTGGATCATCATCATCATCATCATCAAGTGGTTCTGGTTTTGGATCATTTTTATGATGATTACAAAATTCAACAATCTATCACAAAAAAAAAATACATTGTTGAAATAAAAAAGATTTTCTTTTCAAACTAACTGGACCAAGAATTGATGCTTTGACATTGGGTAATGGAATCGGTACTTCTCCAACATCCATTACTAAATAAAAATAATTCAATAGAATCTATTCAAAAATATTAAAATAAAAATTCAATAAATTTTACAATCAGATAAAGTTTTAATAGTTGATGATTGTTCGACAACACCTTGATCAATTTCAAATATTTGTCCATCATTAGATTGAATTTTAATTATTTTTGATGTTGCATTTTCTGTATTAGCAGTTGTTGCATTAGATGAATCTGCTTCAGTACTTGCCATTGTTATTCAAAAAAAAATCTAAAAAATAAAAAATACATCATGGCAGGATTCTTTTACCAACTTGTTTCCTTTTTTCTTCTCAAAATGAAATAAAACGTGTATGTATACAAATCATCATGGACAAATATTTTATAAAAGTAAAAGAACGGAAGAAAAAAAAGAAAATTTCAAAACATTTTGTAAAACGAAAAACATTCTCATGACTCAAAATAACTGAAAATGGTGCAAAAGCAATGAATATTTATACCAACCATGTATTCATCAAAAAACAAAAGCGTATATAATGACCCGACTAGCCCAATGAATAATATTATGTTTGAATAACTCGTTTTTTCCTTTCTGCACATGGAGAAGAAAGAAACGATAATTGAAAAAATTTTAAAAAGAAAACAAAACATAAGTGACGCCGAATGGTTGGATTTAAGTTAATAGAACATAGATAGGCATTAAAGTACAATAATTTCTTTAGAGCAGATTTTCATGTTAACAGCTTTTAAAAATCAAGAATCAATAAGAAATAGTCTTGTTTTTTTCAAGCATGCATAGATGGCGTCAGAATCCAGTGTTTGCTATTGCAACCTAGTCATACAAGTCAATAGATAGATCGACGGCGGCGGTGACCTAATATATTGCTATTTGCTTTTTTTGGCGCGGTAACGACAACTAAAATGACTGAAAAAAATGCAACAACTATTGACGAGGGTGACTAAAAATTTTTGGAAAAAGTCAACGCCAACGGCTGTTCAACAGATAGAGTTAAACTTCTTACGTCCGTTTGCTTTTGCTTTTGTTGATATTTTAGAAATGTCATGTGAATTCTATACAAAAAGTAGCTTTAAGTCGATAACCTATGTGATCGAATTCTATTATTCAACGTTTTAAAGTTCAATTATAGATATCATTATGCTACCAGTCTTCTATTCTTAGTTTGACGGAAAATCATTGTTTTAGTCTTGTTGATAGAAACATGGTTTTACCTAAGTTTGTTACAACTCGTACATAAATCACCACGAAAATCGTACTTTTTGTTAATATGATTTTTCAGATTATTTGCAAAAATGAATTTGTATTTTTGAATGTTCTAATCAGATGGAACGCATTTTTCTTTCTAGGTAATCTCCTAAATCGGTATGCACAAATTCAATAGATTAACAATCGTGTTCAATATCAAGTGATTTAGTGTATAAAAAAATAATCGAGCTTAACTAGGTTTGATACCTTTGACGTATTTCAGTTTTCATAGACTGTTACGGAAATCTTCTCGTACTAAACTGTCGGGCACTGTTATTGGATTTTGATTGCAATAGTGATGAACTAGTTTAATTTCCTTGCGTTACATTAACTCATCTATACACAGCATTACATTTATTTTCGAATGAATTATTTTTTTAATCAATTACAATATTATTTTTCATATAACTTTAATTTTTCTAATAGATTTTAGAAAATTTTATGCTAAAACAATGGAAACGATTCATACATTAGATTTAAAAAAATGAATGCTCGTTTTTATGCTTATCTTAAGGTACTTTTGTTTCATTGAATAGATAATGTAAAACATAAAAAATTATTTCGAATAGATTCGTGACCATAAAACTCAATTAAGTAAACAACATTTAGCTGCATTTAATAATACGACCTATTTAACGTTTGCTTAAATATACATCAACAGCATATATTAATTATCAATTATTAATTGATTCATTGAATTAATAGTATTGATAATTGTCAAGTAAGAAAACGATTCCCACAGTATTAAGCATGTTTTATTGTTGTTAAATTTTAGTCAGTGTTACTTGTTACATATCGTGATTATATAGAAAAACTTCAAGTCATTGAATTTCCACAAGATTTAACAACAATACGAACACATTTAACTGCGTCTTTTCTCCAATTGTCTTGAATATATGTGAAAAACATTCGGTATGAAAATAGGGTATTTGTAAAATACGCTCTAACCTACTCTAACCCACTCCAATTGCCGTTTAACTCGAAGTTAATATCAATCGATAGAGCTTAGAATTCTTCACTCAGGAGGCCTCACTCTAAGCCATTGTCTTTAAACAATATTGGATAAAAGAATCAAATACCATTTTTATGGGTCCACTCCAACCCACTCTAAGCCAATTTTTCGCGAGAAAATGAATAATTCATAATAATAAACAACTCTGTGATTTATTTTAGACCTATCTACCTTGACTTCATTTCTGCCATTGTTAGAGGCCAAAGATCAAAGGTCACATCTGATAGTAAAGTTTAGCGTTAAATTTATACGTCCAATATCAGGTTTTTGAAGTAACAGTGTGTAGGTTCGACAGTCTGCGAAAAAGACAGAGCGTATGTTTGAAAAACCTGATGTTAGACGTATAAATTTAACGCTAAAACTTACTATCAGGTGTGACCCTTGACCTTTGATCTTTGGCCTCTAACAATGGCAAAAGTGAAGTCAAGGTAGATAGATCTAAAATAAATCACAGAGTTGTTTATTATTATGAATTATTCATTTTCTGGCGAAAAATTGGCTTAGAGTGAGTCGAAGTGGCTTGGAGTGGGTTAGGGTGGCCTAGAGTGGGTTGGAGTGAACCCACAAAAATGGTATTCGATTCTTTTATCCAATATTATTTAAAGACAATGGCTTAGAGTGGGGTCTCCTGAGTGAAGAATTCTAAGCTCTATCGATTGATATTAACTTCGAGTTAAACGGCGGTTGGAGTGAGTTAGAGTAGGTTAGAGCATATTTTACAAATACCCAATTCATAATGACCTTTCCACTTGACATCACTCGTCTGACGAGTTTCTTTCTATATACACGATTGACTTACACATAATTGATAGTGTTTCAGTACAATTTCTCTGACTATCTATCGTGAATCGTGATATGAAAGATATTCGTTACAGTAAGAGAATTTACAGCTAAGTAGAGCTTGACAATGAAAATCTTTGAGTGAAAAATGATAGTCGAATATACGACTAAAGTAAATATAAAACTAGCTTTCATGAGAAATTGACACGACTAATATCAAATTTCCGTGCAAATGAGGGATTCATTATCACATATTATGAATCATTACTATTTCATTTCTGAATCTGCACTCACCCTTTTGCTAGTTTGGACTTTCTAAAGAGCTTTTCAACGATCTTTCTTTCGGTCTAACTATAGCTAACCAAAATGTTAGTAATACACAGTTTTACACTATAACTAACAACTCAAGGCGATCATTCCGATCAACGGAAAGAGCATCTTCAACGACCTCAAACGACGTATTACTGTATTAATTTTCATCGTATTTGATAGCAATCTATCAGCTCGTATTACGGGTCGTTTTTTCTTTTTCAAAGAGTCATTGTTTCTTCTACTGCTGTCACTGTTATATTAGCTTACAGAAAATGACGACGTAATGACATCGACTTTTTGTCATTTCATATCGTTTTCAGCGTCGTTTTCTAAAACCTGGAAATATTCTTATTATTATTCATTCTCATGATTCAAAAACTTTTTAGACAAGACTTTATAGCTATATAAAAAAAGCTCCTAATGTACACATGTCTGTAAGAAATTCAACTATTTGCTATACATTTTATTTGTTGAAAGATATGAATGTTGCTTTTCTTGATTTAGTCAAAATATTTTAATAATTATAGATTTCAGTAGTGATAATTTATTTCGGAGTGTGTATGATCGATCAGGATTTGGGTGATATCGTGATTACGAAGCAAGTTTTCCATACGGGCGATACTGTTAGTTCGAGCTTGTCTTTTGTATCATAAAGTACTATAATGTATTCATTCAAAACAACCGAGAAATAAATATTTGAAAACTCTTCTCCTAACGAATCAGTTAAAACTCATCATTGTATCACTCTGTTATGATCGAATTGTACTTGAACACATTGATGAAAATAGTTTACTTTTGTTTTTTTTTTTTTCATTTTTCTTTTTTCCATAAATAAAATGTACATCATATATAATTGACGAAAGAAGAAAAAAACAAAGAACCGATGTACAAAAAAAAAAAGATTCATTCACTGCTTTACAAGTAGCATGGGAAACAACGAATTAATTTCTCTTTGCTCTTTCTTATTTTCATAAGACAAAAAGGAAATAATATACAAAAAGAGAATAAGTTAGTCATGTTCCAATAAAATGAATAGGAATGTATGGATGTGCTTAGATGCCAGGCAAAATATGCACCGAGTTTATGTGTTGAATAAAGGAAGCAATTGTGTTATGTCACTTCAGCATTAAAACGTCGATGGTTAGATAAAGGAGTTTTTGGTACACCAAAATTCATAGATAAACCAAGTAAATCATCTTGAGGATTTCGAATTAAACATGGTTCTGATTGTGAACGTTGTATTCGTGGAAATATAAATTCAAATTTTGATAATGTATCATCAATCTAATTAAGAAAAATTTTATATAGAAAAAAAGCAAAAAATTTTCTTTTCATTAGAAAAAACCTCAGGTGAAAAATTTGGTCGTTGTTCACGATGAAATTCTGAACATTGACGAATTAATTCAAGTATGGCTTCAGGTGTATCATCCCGACATTGTTCGACTTTTATTTTTAACCGTCCTTTTCCAACAAGCCACATAATCTATTCAATAAAATAAATATTTAAATATAATCATTGAATTTAAATTAATATATCGTTGAATAAAACTGTCCTTGAATTCACGTTATGTTGACATGACATAAAAAGTTCTAACGAACATCATGATGCCCATGTTTTGTTTTTTTTTAAGGATTTTTCTCTCAAAATGAATGTCCTTCTTAACATGGTTCGTTTGAATTGAAATTTTCAGAAATGAATAGTCCTACTGAGTAACGCTGTTGTTTAAGATTTCGACCAAACATGTCAAATTAGACTGAACTTCTAGCTTAATCATAGGTCTTTTAAGGAAATCTCTATGGCTACTACCTTTTTAACAGAAATACAAAACTTAAAGTGATTTCAAATGAGAACCAACACCTATAGATAGTTGTTCTTCAAACAAAATGTTGAAATTTACTTTCGTTTATTTTTTACGAGTACCTTACTAAACTTAATATTGTAATAAGCATACAAAACATAATCTTACAGCACTAAATTTCCCTTTTCTCAATACAGGAAGCAACTATAAAAAAAAAAAAAACATCTGATCAAACAAAACTTTACTTTTATTTAGTACTTCAAAGCAATAAACCACATAACAAAAGAGTTTCAATTTTTCTCGCTGAAAACCATACTTTGAGAAGAAACTTTTCAAAAAAAAAGTACAAAATTTTCTTGACAACTATGATAATAGGATCAGAATCTTTTTCCTATAAATCTATTAAAATCTAACGATCTTGCAAAAAATTATGTATATATAATACAAAATGAACTTTTCGCACATCTTTCTATAACAAAAATTCGTTTTTACTAAGACGTCATTCAGATTAAAACACATTACTTCGATCATAACGATTAAAATTGATGAATGTGTAATTTGTTCTTTGATATGAAAACTAACCTGTTCTTTATTACTGATTGGTGCATGAGGTAATTTGCCACTAAACATTTCGAATAGTACACAACCATATGCATATACATCCGAACTAGCTGAATAACAATTTGAATCTTTTTGTTGAATAACTTCGGGTGCCTTTAGAAAGAAAGTAAAAACGATATTTAGACTTATAATTTATTAAGAATAAAAGAGAAAACAATTATATTTACCATCCAAAGAACTGAACCAGTTGGTTGACAGTGTTGATTAACACCTTCGATTGGAATAGTTTTAACAGCAGCTAAACCAAAATCACCAATTTTGACACGCCAACTAACTCCAGCATCATCAGTTTCAGCACACGTATCCAAAAAGACATTACTTGATTTAAGATCACGATGTATTATTTCTCGATCATGTAAATATCTTTTAAACGAAAGAAAAAAGAGATTATTCTTTGTTGTTGTTATTTTTTTATTAATCAAATCAACTTACGACATTCCCTGACATACTTGTCGTGCAATATCAATTAATTGATTAATTTTCCAATGACGATCAAGTATATGAATATGTTTATAAAGTGTTGAACCCTATAATAAAAAAACTTATATATAGATATATATATATATTAAATGATTAAATCTCATATTCGTACTTCACACCATTGTGTTACAATAGCAAAACGAGGTGAGATCATATATCCATAAAAATTTAATGTATTTTGATGAGTAATTTTTCTAAATAAAGAAATAGAAAATTGAATTAACAAAATATTTTAATTAATTAATAAATAAATATAAAACAAACTTTAATGCAAAAACTTCATTTCGAAATGCTTGAAATTGACTTGGTGTTGGTGAAACAAAATTTAATTCTTTCAATGCAACATGACCTAGTCATTAATTACAAAATATATAAGTATCCTATTATTTGTTTATTCTTTTTCTTATATATTCATACCGTGTAATCTCAATTCCGCTTTATATACAGTACCATAAGTGCCTCTGCCTACCATTCGTCCATGATTGAGCAAATCTTCTGGTCGAATTTCCCATTCACTGACATATTTCTTTAAAAAAAAAGAATTTCATTTTCTTTGCTACATAATATATTGAAAGATACACTTACCTGTGGAGGTTTTTTCGTATCAATAACACCATCACTATTAGGTTTAGTCATACTAGGTCGTAGACTTTCTGGACTTGTCAATGTTGAACCATTAATAGCTATTATTAAAAAAGAAAAATAGGACAAATTTAGAATTATATAATAGAAAAGCAAAGTATAATGTGAAGCCAGTCAAAAGTAATCAAAACCAAAAAAGAATAAAGAAGAAGAAGAAGAAGAAGAAGATAATCAAACAAAGTGATTGATAGAATTGATCAGTGTAATTGTTTTTTTTAATGAGTAGAAATCTTACTCAGTAATAACTGAGGAATGTGATGAATAGGTGATATTGCTGATGGTAATGATGATGATATAATTGTTGATGATAGTTGGAAGAGTGGATTCGACGACGATATATTCATCGTCGATTGTATAGCATTCGGAAAATAACCAACATTTGTTGTTGTTGGTAGTGGATTACCATGTGAATCTTGACTGATGTCCTTTTGTGGACCTGCCAAGGTACAAATTGCTTTATTGTTTAGGGAAAAGAATAAATAAGTGACAGAAAATGAAAAAACACCACCAGAAATGAAATATATGTGCCATCACTAGGCATAGGATGTTTCTTGATGGGAGGAGAAATAAAAAGAAAGCAAAAATTAAAATAATAGATTCTTTTCTGATCTACCTACGCCACGTATGCAGTAACATCTGCAGAGATGGTTAAAAATAGAATATAGACAGAGAAAAAACAAAAACGTTCAAAATACAAAAACAAAACAACAAAAATAAAAAATAACCTCTTACCAACTCCTTGATTTGTATCGATACTTGGTCTCTAGAAAAAAGAAAAACAAATTTTAATAAAATTATATTTCATAAAAATATAATATACCGATATTGGAATTCGAGGTAAACTACGTGATTGTTCTTTACTTCGTGGTTGACCACTTGTTCGATCCATATTAAAACGATCAGGACCAAGATGTTTAATATGTCTATTGAGATTAGAAAGAAGAAGATGAAAAAAAAAAAGAAATAAGAATAATAGGTTTATTTTCTTAATTTCTGAAAAACTAGAAAAAAGAATGATACAAAACACATACTGAAGAATAGGATGAGAACACACAGGTGCTTTTGAATAACAACCATTATGATAATTATTTCCACATGAAACACAACGTTTATAAGCTTCACGAATACGATGATGACAGACAATACAACGAACACCAATAAATACAGGAAAACGAGGTGTTGGAATATTTTCCTATATTTATACATATATACGAACATCAAGCTTTTACAAAATATAAAAAGCAAACATTAAAATTAAAATACCGAATAAAACCTTGATGGACAATATGACATATATGTGATTTATGTATACATCGAGTATGTATACGAGAACCACATACAAGACATCGTAGTCCTTGTAATAGTATTTTGTGACATATATCACAATAAGTTAAAGTAAAAAATCTTTTTCTTATCTATGAAAATAAAATATTATTTTATTAAAACAAAAAAAAAACAACATCATAGATGTTCTTTTAATTAAGTTTATCAAGAGCTTAAAGGATATAAAATTATTTAAGCTGAAAATATGAACTTAATTTATTAGCAAAAATTAAACAGATATTTTGCTATGATAATGTATGACGTCAATATTTAACGTCATACGTTCTAATAAATGAAGACAATCTTAATAATTCTTATTTTTTAAAAATATAGAATATATTACTTACAAATGAATGATCAAGTTTAGGATTTTCTTCGAGTTCAATTTCTGTTTCACGTAAACGATCAAGAGTTATATCCCATGGACATGGTTGTCTTTTTTAATAAAAAAAAACAAAAAAACACGAAAAATTTATATTAAAAGAATAATAATATTTTAAACTAGTACCTTGAAATCATATAAACTGGTGTATAAGCTCGTAAATTAGTTACTGAATGTCTTGAAGCACGTGATTCAAGTGCTATTTCAAGTGTTTCATCACTTCTTGGAGCAAGCTAAATTTAAAAAATAATTAAAAACCTATTTAAAAAAAAATAATCTCATTCAAAATTTACAGCAGTTGTATGTTTATTTGGAAAATGAACACGAATAAAATTATTTGGTGTCATACTTGGACTACGTGGTCGTTGAGGTGAATCTATTGATGATAAATGATAATAAAATTTTTTTTTTTCTAATGATTTAGAAATGATATATTTTTTATACCTGAATGTATTGATGATGTTGAAGATGTATGTGGATAACGAATTTTTTCCGGTGGTGATGAACGATATGATTGAGATATAGTTGGAGAATATTGTAATTGTGGTTGAAATTGATTATTCGTTGGAGAAACATCATTAGATGATGATGATGAATATGGATATGTTTTTCCAATATTTTGACCTTCAAGTTCATGAAGATATTCAGTTAATGTATCTCGTGCTTTTGTTAATGTTTCAATACGATCCGTTAAACGTTGAAATTCCTTAATGAGGAAAAAAACAAAAATGAAAAATTTTTGTTTTTTTATGATTAAATTTTTGTTTTTTTGCTTACTTGCATATAAAATGGTGGTCGTGTTTCACGAAATGCTAAATTATAATTATTAACATCAGCTGTAAGATGTTTAAGCATTTTCATTAAATCATCAAGAATTTGTTGACATTTTTGAGGATCTTTATCACGTTTTCCTTCTTCAATTTTATCAAATATTTTTCGATGAAAACTATCTTCTTGATTTGTTGGATGATGCAGCTGTTTGAATGAATCCATTGGAACCGTGCTGCTATTGCTGCTTGTAGCACGATTTGTTTGAAGAACCAAAGCCATGAAAATAAATAATCCACTATAGTTCAATCATCTATATAACACATTAATCAAAATAATAAATAATAAAATAAAATATTTTTACCTTCAATATACAAAAAAAAAAAGTCTTGTTCAATATATCATTTATATGAATATCTACAATATGTGTCAATGATTAGATGACAGTTGTCAAAATAAAAATAAATCTTAAACACAACAAGTAGATAAGGTATCGTATTATGCTCGAAGAAATTTTTTTTTTTTCTTTTGTCAATACACTGTTATCAGTAATAAAAAATATGTCTATGTGTGAGAAAAAAAAAAAAATTAAAACAAAACAAATATATGAATGAATGATTAAAGGAAAATTCTATACATATTTTTAAAGTGTCAAGGGAAAAAGTCTAGTAAACAAAGAGAGAGAGAGAGGGAAAGAGACAACAAACTTCGATGACGTCGATACTTATGAAGCGAACTTCCAATGAAATACTGTTGTTGCGATTTCCTTCCTCTTTCTCTTTCAAAATATCTGATAAAGGTGTGATGAATGCTGGAGCTACTTGTCTGCACTATTTTTATTTTTATGTTTTCTATATTAATTCTGTTCTCTTTTCTTTTCTTTTTTTTTTTTTTTTCTATACAAAGAGGAGAACATACAAGTAACAATTGCTTATTAATAATTCATCATTTTATTGAAGAGGGAAAAAAAAAAGGACATTCATGCAAACATGATTTTTTTTACTATTACTAAGAAAACATTAGTACTGAATAGAAAATAAATAAATTCTATTCAGATATATTTATATGACATAATATACTTACATATTTTCTTTAAAAATTATGTTTTAATCAAATAAATTAACAACATTATAATATATCATACATATAGAAAATAATCTATTCTAGTTTATTTCACTCAATAAGCAAATATCTTTTCTATAGACTGACGCACAATCATTCGCTTCTTTTCTGAAACCATTAGTAGTAGTAACTTCTGTATTTTTTTTTTCGTTCTATATAACATACAAACGACTATATCTTTCTTCCTTTCTTTTTGTTTCTTTATATTCTGTGTCATTTTTTTTTTTCTTAATTGTATAACTCATTCGCCATTATGCGGACGACAACGACATGCGGTAGTAGAACCTTGAACAGCACAAGGGTCGAGCGACATCAATCATCCAGGGTTTTGTATTACATGCAAAAAAAAGAAAAAAGAAAGACGGAGCAGAATAAAAAAAGAAAACACATGAGACACATGCGTAATATTGTTTGCTACTCTATTACACTAATGATGCGCACATACGATAGAGAATCCTATTCAGTACACCTTCATCAACAATGTTAGTCTTTTATTGTATAGAAGAAAAAAAAAAAAGGGAACAGAATCTTTTAAAATGTCTTGTGTTATTTTATGTCAATTGAGACTAATAAATGACATGTAATCAAAAATAATTATTATGTTTTTTTTGAAAAAGGAAATTACAACTTGAATAATATCATATGATTATTCTGCTGGGTCAAAACTCACTTATATATGAATGTGTTTAATCATAAAATGAATATCATGTTTTTATTCAGGTTTTTTTCTTTTCGTTTTACAGTTATTATTCATGCAATTACCAGCCAGGTAATAGATGATCGTATGATCAAAAACAACAACAACAACAACAACAACAATATATATATATATATATGCACTATTCGATCCACTTATTGATTTGTTTAAGAATGACAACTAATCGTATGATAAAGACCAGAAGAGGACGCTACTGACTTATATACTAGAGATAAATAGAAAAGTAATACCATGAAAATACTTTGGTTGACCTGTAGAGGTTCGATAATGGGGACAAGGGAAAAAGCACATTTTGCTATTTTAAGAAAATTTTCATTTTTTTTTTTCAGCAAATATTTATTTTTTTATTGATAACATAGGAATCATAGAACGATAAAAAAAAACCACATTTTGCCTTTTGCACTCATAAAATATTCTAAATGCACTCTTTCAATTGTCAGAAAAATTTTCTTGCATCGCTTTCCTTCCATAACTTTTTTTTCGTCAGTCTATCTCTCGTTGATTTGAATCCTTTTCTTTTTTATACAATGAGAACGTTACCATAATGTTTTAATGATAAATATCTTTAAAGAAAATTTAATTTTTGTCGAAGTCTACTGTCGTATTTACAAGCTTTATGAAGTAACCATTTTCCTAGATATGAGAAAAATAGACTTTTGAATTAATATTTTACTACTATTTTCTAAACTTTTCGAATTCAAATAGTCTAAATGAAGTTTTAATCAAACTAGCACTTACAGATGAATATGTTATGTATGAATAGATCAACAAATTTAAAATACAATGCAATCATCACCTTGACACTTTTATTTTTGTTGTCTATGTAACATGCACCATATTTTGTCTTAATTCCATTCGATCATTCTCTAACAAAAAGAATAGAGTGCATTATTTTTGTTTGAATATGTTACTTGAATAACATATGTGAATGAAATAATACCATCATGACTAACAAATATTTTTGTTTTCAGAGAAGAAACCTTGAAATTATTCTTCATCGACAAATATTTGAGACGGCTTGTTAGTGCATTTCAAAATCTAGAAATTTCTAATAATATTCTTCGACAAAGTTTTCTTTTTCTGTTTAATATGAGTGGATTCAATTGTTCTGAGCATTGACCTTCTCTCTTCATATTCAAATAGAGCAATAAATATTTACATTTTTCAATTTTCAAGGAATTACGGAATATAACATATAAATCTCTTGAATATTTTTTGTAAACTTTCTAATACTTAAAAACAAAAATAAAACTTTCAAATGATGATTTGTACAGTTATATGAATAATAAGTTATTAGAAAATATTGAATGTTATATGTCGAAAAGGTTTCAGAAAACAAAAAATTATCATCTACCTTCGAATACTTCATTGTCAACGATTTTTTAATAAATTAACATCTGTTTTTATTTATTTTTATTTCGAATGAAATATTAAATAAAAAGAAAAAAAAAGATTCTGATATTCATTTATTAATTAAAATGATAAAAATCATATATAATTTATGATAATGGAAATAACCATTTAATTGAATTTGGAAATTCTCGTTTCCAAAACCATTCTTGATGTTGTCCATCAGAAGCAATAATCATTTTCAAATAATTCTTATCATCTCTATATTCCTTTGTTGTATTTTTTAATAAATTAATCATACGTTGTATATCACTAATCATTGTTGAACTTTCTAATTGACCTCCAACAAAATAAAGTTTTGGTGGTGAATTTTTAAAATGATAATTTTCAACATATGTATAAATATCATTTGTAAACCAAAATGATGGACTAAAAATTCCAATTAAACCAAATACATCTTCATGTCGAATAGCAGCATAAAAACTACAAAGACCACCAAGTGAACTACCTAATATTGCAGTATTTTCACGTTCAGGCTTTGTACGAAAATGACTATTTATATATGGACGAAGTTTTTCTACAATAAAATTTAAATAATTATTAGCTTGACCACCACCATAATTTGTATTTGGAAAAGGTGTTAATTCATTAAGACGTTCTGAACCACCATTATCAATACCAACAACAATTAATTCTTGAGATAATATATCAAGACTTTCATCAATACTCCATTCACCTGAATATGATGTACTACTATCGAATAAATTTTGACCATCATGAGCATAAACAACTGGATAATGTCGATTTAAATTAGTTGAATAACTACGAGGAAGATAAATCCAAATACGACGTGTACGAGGAAGATAATTCCACATTGAAAAATTTGTATCTAAGATATAAACTTGATTTGAAGCTGTATGAACACGACCGGATGTATCAGACCATTGTTCAACTGATATATCAACGGATTGAGGATTATTCGACTAAAGAATATATGAGAAATTCTTTAATATGAAATTCATTTAAATTTCAAAGGACCGAAGACGAGACATATAAGAAAGTATTTTAGCCTCTTTTGACCTATGAACATCCAATCTAATTAAATCGTATACAGAATGAAAGATCATTTTGATGGCAAATTTGTGATGTTTTGAATAGATTATAGATACAATCTAAGCTCACTTTCATCACATCCTAACGTGCCAGTTGACTATTAATAGTTGTTAACGGTACGTGGCGTTCATTTGCAAAAAATAAATAAATAAATAGAACTCAGATTGAAAATTTCTTCTAATAAGCTTTTGTTCAAGCTATATTTTTTACATTAGATGTATTCATTTAGAAAAAGACTTTGATTTTAATAGATTGAGTAAAAATCTTCCTAATGTGCATTTTATCTTTATATTATGTATGCTTATCACGTTGATCGTTCATTTATTGTGTTAATGAAATTGCCACTCAACTTTATTCACTTCGTATACCATAGAGATTTTCATGTATTACAAAACTAAGCATTTTTCAAGATCTAAAAAAGTAGATACCTAAACGCACTATTCTTAGAATTTAATTTTCGACATTTTTGATTTGTACATATAAATCGTTAAATATCATTTGAGAACAGTTAAAATTGACTCTCAAAAATAGTAAACTTTGGATTTTGTTATATAGTTCACTTATTTAAATCAAAAAAAAAAGTAGTTCATTTTGTAGCATTTGAAAATTTCCATCGAATATAAAGTAAACAAATTGGGAAGAAAGCTTAGAAGTTCAAAATATTATTTAAAACGAATAGTTCTATTATAAGAATGTCGCCTGAGCAAAGGCTTATTAGAAAAACTTTAAATCATTCTTCATCATTATTATTTTGCTTTCGAATGAATGCTCATATAATTGATTACTATCAATGAGTAATTGATCGATTTAACATTTGATAAAGAGAAACTCTATTTACGAAAATTCATGATATTTTATTTCATATATGGATTCAATTAGATGAGACCTTGAAAAATCAAAAAAAAACGAGGCAAAATATATCCTTATAGTTTCTCTGTCTTTTTAATTATCTAATTTTTAATCTATAAAATCCTATGCAATTATTTTCTTTCAAAAAAAACCAAAAATAAATCCTTAAATTTATTGAAAACAATATTTAAATCTATCGAAAATTTGATATCAATGCTATTTTTGAGATATTGTTTTAAATGTAATCATCATCATTAGAAAAAAATAAGAGACAAGAAGTGTAAAAAAATTGATGTGGATCTTATAAATTAGAACGTGATATTCTAGAAAAAAAAAAGAAGTTTCAAAACAATTTTTCTGCGAAAAAAATACACACAGTAGAATAAAATTTCTCTCGGACTTTTTCTATTGATGTCTGGAATTTAGTTTTAATAGAAATTATTTTATTTTTAAGGATTGAATATCAAATAAATTCTTGCTATCAAGGAAAATCTCTATTATTTTGTTTAAATAGGAAAATAACGTCAATGTGCAATTTTTTGTTTTCTATGTCTGGAGTAAGCTTTTTTTTCGTATCATGTTGGCTGACTAAAAAAAAAATTCTCTGACTCTTATCCTAAGATATTTTTGTTTCACTTTCCCTAAATCCTACTCTAGTCAGAAGACTCCAAAAGTGATGAATAGAAAAATAGTATCTAGGCCTGTCGATATTTTTTAGAGGTAAGAGAGGCTAAAAATTCTCGCAGAAAGTACTTTTCACCCTTAAAGTGTTAGAAGTGATGATCGAGGGCGAAGTTAAGAAGAACGAAACTCACCATCAACCGGTTCCTGCCATCAGGTCGTCCCTCCTTCGAAGCCTGCCTCAATCCTATTCATCTCGTAACGACATTGTCTGCTTATTTTTATTTCACTTTCTGCCAGAGAAAGGCAACTTGTGTTTCCAAACTTGGTTTCTATGCAAAGTTACCACGAAGCTGTAAAAAATTGGCAGAAAATCGAACATTTTGGAGGAACGGAGAACCTCTTTCTCTAATCCAAAATCCTAATAGCATCACATTAGACATGTTCAGGGTAAGCTTTTTTTCGTACCCTGTACCCTGACTGATGAGAGAACATTCCAAGGTGTCAATTTACTTTTGTGTCAAAAGCATGTGCATTATGTAGACCCTAATGAACTATGAATACCTTATAAAGATTTCGTACTCATGGTTTGTTCCTGATGAGATATAAATTTTTTAGTATATATTCCTTTTAGAACCTCAATTCTGTAACAAACTCATATCTTCGAATTTTAACTTGAAAGTTTCTTCACATAGAAAGATTTCAACTAGACTAAAAATTTCAGAATTTTTGGATCAACATATCTCTGAGATATAAAGCTTCAATGGCTGCACACTACATTCACTATCTATGGGGAACGGCATGTATCCTGAAAGTTTTATATTTCGAAGTAACTTTGTCTAAATCTTTTGAAATCTTTAGTGCAAACTTGTTTAGTTCAGGTATCTATGTGAAGAAATTTTCGAAGATATCAGTTCGCTAAAAAAAATGATGTTATGGAAGGAATATATACCTGAAACTCAATATCCCACGAAAAATAAGCTATAAGTACGAACTCTGTACAAGGTACTCATAATTCCTTAGGGTCTACATAATGCACATAATCTTGACTAGAGATGTGCAAGATCAGCTTTTTTTTTTGGTTTCGATCCCTGTGATTTTCATTTGAACATATTATTCAAATTATCTTTGCCTACAATCCATGTAAAACATAATTTAATTTTAACTTGTACATTTCATTTTGAGAAAATCTTAAGTTTGATCATTACCGACAGAAATATCTTCAAAGTTCAACCTTAAAACACTTAATCCTTATTTTAAATTCATCTTCTACAAATAAATAATTTAATACCAATGTTAATCTTCTATTTGCTCTCGCTGTTCCATCAAGCCAAGTTTCTGTTGTTGACCAACTTCCTCGTGTTATTTTAAATTCAACATTTGTAATATTCTGAAAATCAATAATTAATGTCTTTGTCATACTGTCAAATTCAAATTGTTTATCATTAGGCTTCCATTGATTATATGAACTTGCTAAATATATTTTATCATTTAATGGTGTAAAGAATCTTGGTAATTGTTGTATTTGAAATTGAACAATTCTACCATTAATATAACTTAGAACTAAATATTATATGAATTCTATATCAATAAAATCGATAAATTTTTTTAAAATCTATTTCTCACTTGTATAAAAAAGAATGATGATTCGAATCATTCGAATAGATATGTTGTATGAAAATAAATGTAATCCTTTATTTTGCATGCAATATATCTAGATTTTCTTTTTCTTTTTTTTTTTTATTATTTTGCTTATTCATTTGAAAATGGAAGAAAAAGAAACAGAACAGACGAAAAAAAACACAGACAGAAAAAAAAAGACATTGGTCATCTGTATAGATTGTTTTGATTTTGTTAGTTATAATAGATTATGCAATTTTTATTTTTAGATTCTGTTTTTTTTTTTAAATAAAGATAATCAATTTATGTGAAGAAGGACAAAAAAAAAAAAAGAAAAATTTCTAATTGATTATATATTTTATTCGATATAGAGAATAGACAGAGAGAATTTATCTCAATACACTATTTAATGAATAAAGATAATGAAAAGACAAAAGATAGAAATAAACAAACACCTGAGTAATTCCATTGGTTGTTTGGTTTTCTATATACATAAACTCGTTATTTATTAAACTTGATACATATACAAAAAAAAAAAGACAGAATCCAAAGAAATATTTCATAGGATTTCTTCACTTGAATCCATTGGTTGTATATCTTGCAGAGAACTTTGTGATTGCATTTGACTTTGATCATCTTCAGTAACAGATGATGCTAAATCTTCCATACCAAGTAGAAGATCTTCATCTTTTGAATAGAGTTTATCGGCATTTTCTTTTAATTGATTATTAGCACCTTAAAAATAGAACAAAAATATTCGAGAGATGAAAAACAAAGAGAGAACCATTGTTTAACTTACCCTTTGGATCAAGATCCATACACCATGACATGTACATATATGAATAATGAAAATTTTTTAAATGTCGATGAACCTTAAAAAAAAATGATTAAACACTTTTCATAGTTTATGACAAGAAAAACTATCTGAGAAATTGTACAGCCTTATTATTAGAAATTTGCAATGTAAACTTTATTCGTACTTTGTACCTTGATTGAAACAAATTTTCTAAACCCTGTACATCTCTACTACTTATTAATGAATGTTAATCTCAATCTATAGATTTTCTGTTCTCAATAGATACGTTTGACTTGTAATAAATGATTTCTTTTTTAAATTTTTATTATGAGAAAACTGTACTGGATGTAACACGTTACTTGTGATCATATGAGGTTCACAAGGAGATCGAGGTAAGGCTAGAAAAGTTATGATTCTTTGAAGTCGAGTTGTGGCCATTTTACTGAATTTTCGAGTCAATTTTTAGATATTTATTGAAAAATCAGATAATGAAATTTCAATCTGAAAATTTGCCTATAGACAGATTTAATGATCCGTATAGTATTCTGAAAGTTTCAGCAGAAATGAATGTTTCTTTCTCGAAATATTGAATTTTCAAAAAAAAAAAATAATCATTTACCACAGACATGTTACAAAAATTGAGTCTACTTGAAAATTGAATATTTCGACAAAGAAACATTCTTTTTGGTTGAAACTTTCAGGATATTCAAAGAGTCATTAGATATATCTAAAAGTAAGACGCCGTGGCTGAGTGGCTGCGTTGTTCGACACGTAAACACAAGATGCTCTGTTCAAACATCAGTACTACCAGTCATGGAATGATCCGCGACAAGTTGTCTTGGATCATCCGTCCGAAACCATGCTGACTACGTTATGATATACACTTGCTCTTGTGGTTAATTAGTGTGTATGGAGAGCGCAAGAACTCTGCGTCAGGCTGGCCTTCTGTTTTGAACTAGAGCTAGCCATAATGGTAAGAAAGATATTAGACTATTGAATCTGCTGCTAGGCAGCACTTCATACCGCACGAAAGACAAGAGTATTCTTCCTATCTATGTGCAAAATTTCAAATGGTTTCAATTTGATATTCTAGTAAATACCTAAAAGTGGATCGGAAATGCTCGACTGCAAAGAACCATGGAGACGAATTTTTAAAGATTTTTGCTAGTTTTATCGATTCAATATTAGCTCAAACGATAGATTACAGTTGGGATAGCTTACTCTTTAGTATTATTGAGATTGACAACAGAAATTCCTACTTTTCTATTTGTATAATTTTTCGAAATGAATAATAATATCTATTAGAGTATAGTATAAAAATAAAAGATCGACTATGTTAGTTAATGGTATTCCAATGAGAATTCTTTCATATTTTTCTTTTAATCATGGCATACTTTACTAAGTAAATAATAAACCAGCGATTCTTTAGGTGCTATTTGTCTTAATTGTTCAAGTTCTGTTAAAGCTTCATGATATCGTTCAAGATGTAATAAAAGACCAGCTCTAGAAAAATAAATTTTTTTGAAAAGATTTTTAAATTTAAAAAAAAAAATAAAACTTAATTTACTTATGAAATTTACAAAGAGCATTTTTTGAATCAATTTTAAGTGCATCATTAAGTAATGCTAATGCACCTTCAGATCGATTACATTTATGTTGAGCCTAAAGTATTAATTTAAATTATTAAATAAAAGAAAAAAAAAAAAGCTAAAATTTTCTTTTTTTACCACTGCTAAATGACAAATAAGATCTGGATTTGTACGAAATATATTTGTTGCTTTTGTAAAATGAAATTCAGCTGATTGAAATTTTTCTTGTTTTAAATAAACCATCGCTACACCATTCCTATAATTCAAGTAAAATAGACTATTTTTCTTTTGTTTATAAATAAATATATTAAAATTATTACCATGCTTTATAACTTCTTGAATTTAATTGAATAGCTTTACGAAAACATGCCATAGCTCGTTCAAGTTCATCAACTAATGAATATTCATTGCCTAATAATGTATATGCATAATCAGATTCTGGTGCCAATTGAATTGCACGTTTAAATGCCTGAATAGCTTTATCATATTCATGATTCAGACTAAGACAATTTCCGGATGCACACCAACTCTATAGAACAAAAAGAAAAAATTTTACACAACCGTCCTATCTTAAGATAAAACTATGGTAAAAGCGTGTGTTTTACATTGATTATATAAATCGACAGATTTGATATTCTTATTTCAGGATAGAAGTAAATCCGAAGATCGGTTTTTATGCAAAGTTTCAAGTCGAAAATCAGACTTTTTTTGAATCACAGCATTCATTTACAAAGTACAATGCAGTATCTCCGCAGCAACAAACTAAGGGCACAAATTCTTTGCTCGTTTGAATCTACTAATAGTCTCGACTGAAAGGTAATTTTTCAGTTGTGGGATTTCCATCATAAGAGATAAACCTTACCTCATTTAATAAGTTCTATTGAGACTAGAGAGAAGATAAAATCAAATTCATGCTCATAGGTCTATCATGTTGAATTTTCGATTGTGCTCATCGTCACATTACTTTGGTCTGTCATTCCGATAGAATTTTGGTCTTGACATGCCGCTTCCATAGAAGAACTTGAGATTTACAGTTCGAGAAATAATTTCAGTGATGATCTTCTCACCTTCTAATGCTCAGCAAATAAATTTGTACATTTATTTGATCGAATATTATGTCATTTTTTTTTGATTTTTAAACAAATTATTTTACTTGTTATCAAAATTTCATCGGGAATGACAGATTATTTTATTTTTGAATGTTTTACAGAAATCATTGTTTTTTCATCCTCTATAATAGTATCGGAGCAAAAAAAGAATCGTGTTTTTTCTTTCAATTGTTGAAAACTACAGATTGTTAGCTGCTTGAGTTTTTGACTTATTCGATTTTTTAACTGAGCACTTTTAAGTATCGCATCGATATTAATATCTTCGGTTTTTTTTTGTATAACGGAACTTTTAATATTGATATCTGAGAATAGGAAATACTGTAAAATCTAATACTGTCACAATGAAAAACATTATTTGTCTATTGTTCGAATTAGAGAATTAATTTTGTAGCTGATCTGTATAGAAAATATTTAAATAGATAATTCATACTTACAGCTGGATGTTTTCGATCAGTTTCAGTTAATTCATGTGCTAATGTTGCTAGTGCAATATCATCTTTTAAATGCCAAAGAACTGTACTATAATATTCTAAACCATCGATATGATATGGAAATTTTGTACGTAATTCTCGATAGATAAATGATGATTTTTGATAATCATGTAAATGATAATAACAATTAGCTAAATGTGATAATACCCATGGTGTATGAAGATGTTTTAATGATATTGTTTCAAATAATTCAATTGCTTGTCGACATTCAAATTGAGATAGATGTTGAAGACCTTGACCAAGTAATTTAAATATATTGATTATGTTTTCAACTATTTCTTTAAAAAAAAAGAAGAAATTAAAAAATTTTAAAATCATATAAATAATAATAATAATAATATTTGTAAACAAACCAGGTGTTCGTTGATTTGATTGACTTTTTCTTTGTCGTTCACGTTTATTGATTATTTCTGTATCAATAGAATAATTTATATTTGTATTATTTGATCGTACTTGTGATCGTGTTGTCATTTTATTTGAAGATTCAGATGATGGTACTGGTGTTATACTCATATCTGTACATGGTGGACGGGTTTTTGCTACACGTGTATTACGTTTTGTCGTTGTACGAATTGATTTATTTTCCTTAAAAGAAAACAATAATTACTCAAATTCAAATATAAACTAAATATATATATATAAGATTATTCTACTGAATTTCTAATTTATTTCGCAAGTCTAAATTTTGAAGGTGTATTTTAGAAGTGCATAAGAGTAGGATTACAGCGAACCTGAACGTTTGGGTTTAGTGCATGCTAATTCAAGTTTTAATAAATGAGAGTTTTCAAACTGTCTGAGAACTTTGATATAAGCTATAATAGTTATCGACGAATCGAAAATTGACTTCTATACTTTTCCAGTGTCATGTTATCACAAAACCTGAATGGTGCGTTCATCAAACTACTTTTCTTATTCGTATACTCATATGTCATTAGTACTTTATAGATCATGTTAAACCGCATTTAGTATGATACTTTGATTCGAGAAAAAATTTCTATACGGGTCGACTAGGTGATGTCATCCTAGAAGATTATCTGCAGTTCAGAAACATTGTAGGCATTTTTTCATAGATCAGGTGGACGTATGATTTTTTTAAATTAGAAAGACCTTATTTTCTGATCAATATTGTTTTATCATCTCTTAAATGTCAATATAATTCGAAAAAAAATCAAATCCGAATAAAAACTTTGCTTTTACTCAAAAATCACTGTAAGAAATTTTCGCTTCATATACAGGAAGAAAAATTTTTTTATAATGAGATTAATACATCATTCGATGCTGATTTCAAATATGAAGTTGGTCTTCAATAAAAGTGTTTCTATATCGAGAAAAATGAGTTTTGCCTGGAAAACTTATAGATCAATCCTGGCACGCTCGCACCAACGCCTTGTCGGTGTTGTATATGGAAGAGCAAACCGTTCGATGTTAAAGAATGACATTTTTCAAATCCAAAACAGATAAAAGTGAAAGCAGTTTTTTTTTACGAATCGACAGAATGAAAGGCGTAGTTGCAGATTATGTATGATGTTCTTAGGGATTTTTATAACTCACAGTAAAAAAAAAGGCTCCTCATCGTAACTAGCTGCTTTTCTCGATGAAGCTGTTTCTGTGCTTTCCGACTAATCCTAACAAGAAGAACAAAGACTTTTATATCATTAAATATTCCATAGATCACAATATATTTTAAAACATTAACAAATACACTTTCAACTTTGCATCTACTGTCCGCTTGAATGCCCATAGTAAGGAACGCAGGAAGATATATTTTATTATCTTAAAGCGTTTCAATAATGGATATCGTATTCATCTCATACTGGCACTTGATTTTTAGAGTCGGATAAACTTTCGTTTCATTTCGTTCAACTTTGTGAGATATCTCATTCTTCAGTTAAAGATTTGTTCTTATTTCTGTCAACTTAATAAAAATTTACATCGATTCATTTCTGCACTATATGTAATTTCATAGCAGGAAGAAGCCTAACAGAATGGTATTAAAGAATGCCTATGTTTTGTTTGTCAGTTTTAATAGTGTTACTGCAAACGGGTCGGTTTGGGTCTCGGGTTTGATCACATACTCGGACCTGACTGGCATTTTATGAGATCTCAAAGTTTCAAAATAATATTAGTTTTTCAAGTTGCTAACTTATATAAAAGCATTTGAGTGAAAACCAGTTAGATTATGATTGAACAATTTATTGTACTTGAAAATAGATCACAGAAATGAACAGCTATATTGTTTTTCTAGGAGAATTCATTTTTAATGGAAATTCATCTACAGGTGATGATGAAATAACTCAATACATGCGGAGAAAAATGAATCATCGAGAAGGTGAACATTGCTGTTTAAGAAAGAAATTCAATATTATACTTTTTTCATATAAAATGAAATTTTGAAAACTGTACTGCGACTGTGAGAGTATCTACCGAAGGTCGATTAACTTTGGTCTAGTACAGCTATCCGAATCCGATTGCGAAAGTTGTATTCATGCAGAACACTATTTCCTGAACAACTATCTCTCATTCGTGCGCATGTGTATACATTTTTCGACTCACGAAAGATACATCAATGAATTTCCATATCTATGTTATGCTCGGTCGAATGAGGTGCACCTGATGAACTGGTAATCAATAAATAACATACTTTTCGTGTACTAGTTGTTTTCCGTGTATCACTTATAGATGTTGATGCAATTTCATGTCTATGTAAAATTGTTGCTGTTGATGTTGGTGTCGTTGCATCATCAAATCCATAGTGTTGTCTTTAAGAAAAAATAGAAAAACAAAAATTAAGTTTCTCTTTTTCAAAATTTCTTATCTATTCATACATCATTCGAGTATTTTGTCGTTTTGGTGCTAATGGTGGATTGCGTAATGTAGGTATATAATCAGGTAGTTTTATAGTTGGTGGAGTATATTTATCATTATCTTGTAATTGTTCAGAAAGTAAACCAATTGGTGTTGATGTTATAACACCAGAAATATTTGTTGAACCAACATTTAGAATAGAATCTGTTAATTTCATAACAATTGCTGGAGCTTGTAATAAACGTTGTTGAGATCGTTCTTTCATAGGAAGATTTGAACTTATATTCATTGACTTAAAAATAAAACAAAAGAGAATTTATTATTTAAAAAAAAACCAGAAGATTTAATTATGAACAAACATTTTCAATAATTTGATTTTCACTAGGAATATCTTTTATTGATTCTGTATAAGGTGTGAGACAACTTTGTGATTGATTATATTCAGATATTGATCGATTGGATTTAATTGCAGATGAACAAAATATACTTGTGTCAACACGTTCACCTACAAAAATAATAAAAAATAAAGTGAAGAATTTTTATTTATAAAAATAGAAAAAAAAAACAAAGATATATTACCAAGTCGACATAAAGCTTCGAACGATGACCATAGAAATGGATTTAATTTTAATGATTTTCGATAACATTCACTTGCTTTTTGTTGACGATCTGATTTTCTAAATAATATAAAGATATTTTTACAAAAACTTTTATTAAAATTTATACAGAAAATATTTAAATATTCTATCTTTTAGTCATTCGTATGAGAAAAAAATGACATTCTATAAGTTGATCTAGGCATGCACCGAATCTGAACCTTTGAGATTCGATCTGATATAAATACAACAGTTCTATATCAATAGACGTATTTTTATTCTTATGAATATTTCGTTCATTTCTTTTTCATTGTATCTATCATAAAGTATTCACATATAAGTCGAAGTATTATGCCTTATATCTATCAGATGACCTTCTCTTCTGTATGTTGTCACTATTGGGATCGATCAAGGGAGTAGATACAATTTGTTATAACGTTCTCTCTTGAATGTATCTTTTACAGTCATGGTAATTAGTAGTGTACTGTATGAAGCCTTAGAAATAAAAAACTACTTTTTCGTACCAAACTATTCAGTCCGAAAACCAAATTCGAGTTCAGATTCGGTACATGTCTAAGTTAATCTCAATAGAATATGAGTCAGTCTAAACTTTTCTTGATGACATTGAGAAATGTTTGTTGAATACAACTCAATAACTATCTTTAGTAAAAACAAGAATTAAAATAAATAAATAAATCAATAAATGAAAAAGCTTTTATTCTTTTTAAACAAAAAAAAAAAATAATAATAATAATAATAACCGTACTCGCAAACTTTAGCTAATAATTGTAATGCAAATGCAGCTTGATCACCGTGATCATTAACAAAATCATCTAATCCAAGTGTATTTATTGATGAACAATTACCAATAAGTATTGATTCAGCTTCATGAAGTCTTTAATTAAAAATATGAAAATTCATTTTTGTTTTTTTGTAATTAATACATACTTATCTGTATCAAAGCAACATTTTGCTAAAAGAAGTTTAGCCGTAGGTACATGTTCAATTGATGAATTACGTAATAACCAATAAGATTTATTTATATCACCACTTAAATAATATGTACGAGCTAATAAATAAATTGATTCATCATTTTTTACTACAAGAAACAAAAAATCATTTTATTAATTAAATAATTTTCCTTTTTTTTTTTCTGAAAAAGAAATTTTACTTTCTGCATAAAGACGTTCAGCAAGAAAAATAGCATCAATATAATCAAAATTTTGAATAAATTGATTGATATAAGATTTTATAGAATCGATTTCGACGGACATTCACAAAAGAAAAACAGATCAAATATAAACTAATTAAGACATTAATAAATATCAATCTTATATCTAAAACTAAAACAAACTCGAATAACAATGAAAATGAATTATTATCTTAATTAAAAAATATATATCCATCACCAATAATCAACAAAAGAAAAATACTGTTTCAAAGATCGTTGTAGATTCAAAAAACAAAGAAAAATAAGATCATTCCATCAATCAATAATAATAAAAAAAAACAGATTAATTTGGATTTTCACGTTTTTGTGTATTAATTTCATGACGTCGTTTACGTTCTGTTGATAAACGATTACATGCTTGTTGAATATTCATAAATTTTATTTCAGCTTCTTGTTTTGCTTCTGGATCCTATTTGATGAATATTTTTTAAATCGATTAAGGAAAACAAAGCAAACAAATAAACAATAATTTCATACTCGATATCGATCTGGATGCCATTTACGTGATAAAGTTCGACATTGAATTTCAATTGCTTTTTGTGATGCTTTAGGATCAATACCAAGAACCTGAAAATATGATATTAGGCTTTTTTTAAAATCGAAAGTTAGTTTTTATATAATGGCGATAAAATTGTTCAATCATGGAATTACTAACATCGACTATTGAATTATTGTTACTGGTATAGAATGCAATTAAACAGTATTTTGTCCAGATTTTGACTTCCGTCGGGATGATTTAAATCTCCGGGAGATGGTGAACACATTTTTGGGAGCACAGGTATATATTATATGGTACGATAACCATAAACTTCGGAAGGACTAAATCGATCTTCAGAGAGACGCTGTCCTCTCTGGATAAAACACTGCTACTGAATGATCATCTATTTCATAGTTTATTATCGAAATAGAATTCTTGACTAAACGATTGCTTGATATCGAATTCTCTTCGGACTATTAGTTAAGACTTTTATTAACTAATCGCTGGTCTCCAAACATTAATACAAGGTAAAAGACACTGTGTCGGTAGTGTTTTATGCAGATTTTCTTGTGCGAAGGAATGATTCAAAACTTTGGAAAGGTTGAAACAAAATATGTCACACAATAATAACGATTTTAGAGAAGACCAGTTTAATCGTCGACGATGTGCTACACAAGTCGAATGAAATGCTGACTTAGAATTCCTTCCCACCCCCAAAAAATCGATCTCAACCCAGGTATTTTCAAATCACATGAAATTTTCAGCTCTATACCATGATATTTTTTGAGAGACATTCATCAAACAACGGCCAAAAATAGGTCATTTGATAATCTGAAATTCTTTGTGAATTCTAATTCTATATATTTCATTTTTCTTTTATTTCAAAGAGTATATCAGTCTGCAGTCCCCTTTTTTAAAATTATTACTTGTGATACGAAGAAAAAAAAGGGCATCTATTTATAGAAGTACATTTTTATATAATAATACAAAGCTTAATTTAAAAAAAAGCGGGCTCTGTGATGCGCTGTACCTTCGCATGTTCTTTCAAACAAAAGAAAGAATAATTGGCTACAATGAAGCTCCTTGAAAACGCATTTGAACGACCTAATTGCGGTTCGCGTTTGAGCGTTTTCGCCACTATTCATAAAACATCAAAACCACTTTTATCATAAAAAATGTATAAAGACATTAAAAAAAGCAACTTTTGTATCTGGGAAACGTCCCAAATATTTTCTCACGATATTCTTGACACATAAAAAAAAAGTCATTTTGATCTGCAAAATATATCAAAATATTGCGAAAAAAGTTTTTTTCACACTTTCCAGGTGTAAAACTTGCCTGAGTGTCTCCATGCACATTTTATGATGAAAGCAGCTAGTTTTTTATGTTTTCTGAGCGGACATGAAAACACTCAAACGAGAACTGTGATTAAGGTGTTTAAACGTGTTTTCAAAAGTTTTTGTCTACTTGAGAATGTACAATCAGAAAAATATAAACCGAGAAACAAAGCATCTTATTCAAGCAAAAGGTGACGGAAATCATTAAAAAAAAATCGCGTGTCAAATAAAAGATCATATTGTTTGTGAAAGATCCGACCCGAGAAGGAAACAGTAGGCTTCAAGACTACACTTTCTACCGTCTTCTCTCGATCCAAACGTAAAGTATCCTCCCATGTATTTATCTTAATTTCGCTAATTCTGATGGAAATAGATTTTTCTTAAGCAGAGAAGCCTTAATCATACATAACTTATCTATAGATATACGTCACAGGGTTATGATCCTAATACCTTTGTTATACAAGATGAAAAACATATTCATTAACGAGGAAAAATCCACAAATGTGAATCATTGATCAAGCGGATATTTTGCTCCTCTTGAGTTATAACTGGTTTTTTTTTTACTTTTTTTCTACCGACAGCAAAGTGTTAATGAAAAAATTGAATTTTGGAGTTTGAACCTGCGACTTATTTTATATATAGATCTCATAGCCATTAGAATGTATAAAAGAATGTGCTTTTTTTTTGAGATATTCACTGCTGAATATAGTTGAGTTTCTACTCGTTCCTTATGATATATGATCGGTTCTTTAGATATCCAATAGCTCAAGAAGAATGTATTCTTTTTAGCTGAAATATTTAAGTCATTCTAATGATCATGAAACCTATTTTTGGATTCAATTTCAAATGCAAACTGCTTAATTCGATATTGATCATAAATACCTTGTTGTAAATAAGAAAGTCAGCAAACGGTCGCATCGTTCATAAGGGAACATCTTCAATCGCTTTTGAACTCGAACTCAGTGCATAAGGTAGATCCTAGTGAGATATGAAAAGCTTCAAAAGGACAAGTCCTCTTAGACCTTCTATCCAGAGTTATTGGTATTTCACTAGAATTTTAGCCTCGGGCATGGTATATACCGATAAATCAAATAATGAAAAAATCTCACTGGAGTCTACCTTATGCATTGAGTCCGAATTCCAAAGCGATTAATCAGTTGAAAATGTTCCCTCGTCAGAAAAACCAAAATATGTAGATTAAACCTTTTAGTCTTATGAAACCCTACTTATGTACAAAATATTAGCTCGATTAACAATACACACATTGAAACTATCTTCCATGATCTATGAAACTTACACAATTACATTTGAGAGAATCTAAAACTACTTCATACTCGAATTTATTTCTAAGATAGTACACGGATAGTTTTCGTCAATTTTGCTCACTTGTCATTGGTGCAAGTAAACAATTCAAAACTCTTCAAGAAAAAAAAAACTAAAAAACACTTTTTTCAGTTCATTATTCTTCTCATCATATATCTTTGAGTTAGTCTAAAAAATTTTTCAATTTACTTCAAATGCTTGTTTATCACTTTCATAATCTAATGCTGCCCATATTTGTGTCCATATTCCTTTAAATCCAAATTGTAAATAAAAAGCATATAATTGTTGCACAACACTTGATAACTGTTGACATAATTGTATATATTCTTGTGATTTAAAAAAATTAGCTATAACATCTTTTATTTTAACACGTTCACCATTAATATCAACTTGTAAATTTTGATAAATAGTTGATGTTAATATTGTACAAAATATACATGCACCAAAACCAAGTATAAGACAACGTTTTATAATATGACGTCGTTTTCGTTCTTTTTTTTTTGATGATAATGATGTTTCCTTTTCAACTTTAGTTGAAAAATATTCTTTATCCCAATCAATTTTCCATTCAAATATACAACATGAAAAAAATGCTACAATATTAAATGATGGTGATGCATCACCATTCCAAATTAAAAATGGTGCTCCAAGTAAAGCACCTAATAATGGCCAAATAAATGAACATCGACGAGGACCAAGTGTACCAACTAATTGCGTACCTAATCAAATACAAAAAACAAATCGAAATATTTAAATTTACTTTATCGTTTTTTGTTTTTGATTTCCTACCAAGAGCAATAGCAAAAGCACTACTTAATCCAATAATTAATGATGGATATGTTTTTTGAAGCCATGTATCAGGAAAAGCATAATAAGTAATAACACCATAAAATAAAGCAGTTATATATTGACCTTCAAAACAAAAATCATGATTGAATAATTTTAAAATTTTATTCGATAAGTTTCTAATATTTATTCTTACCACAAAATCTTATGAATTCAAAAGCTGGTGATTTTTGTTCTTGCATTTTTTTTTCATATTCATCAAGTATTATATTATCAGAATTGGCTTCACGAACATATTTTTTTATTGAAAATAATAATTCATATAGAATACCAATACCAAAACCTCCAAATGTTGTAAACCATAATAAAGCATGTTGAGTACGACCCAAATAAAGATGATGTAAACCAAAAAGGCCACCAATTAAAGCAAAAAAATATGCAAATCCTGTATGTTTCATGTTACTGATAAAAGATAATCTAAATCAAATAATAATAATAATAATAATAAATAAATAAATAAATAAAATCATATTAATTTAATCAATGTTCAATAATCTTGTTCATCAAAGATAAAAATTCTTTTGTTTTTTTTTTGTTCTTTTCGAATGAATAGTTAGGGTCAAGAATCAAAAAGTATAAGGTGAGAAAAATATTTTTCTCTTACGACGAAAATATAAAATGAGTGTAATTGGACTAATTGAACAATTGTCGCTAGAATTTTTGTTGATATTTACATTGAATGTAGCGATTAATCCTATTTTTCGGTATTATTTATTATCGATTATATACGACATCTAACAATCCAATAATACTATATCTAGATGTCATAGAATAATCTACAGACAGGAAGATAAACTGCAAAAATTAAATTCAATCAATCCAAAGAATATATATTGAATTTTAACAGAACTAAAGTATGAGTTGCTTTTATGTTAACAATAATATGTTAAAATAAATAGAAAAGTAGTGAATGATAAAGATCTTAACTCATATTTCACACCGTTCATCACGGTTTGTCGGGGTTTTGTGATATCGATCAATATGCCGTACATAAATTTTATGGTTGTCATGTATGTTATTGTGTTTCATGGACAAACTGCATCATAGTTAAGAAATTCATTGAATTGATTGCACTATTTTTTTTTGAATATCATACCATGTTTAATGTTTTTATCATTAAATTATTGTATTAAATATTAACTTTCTTATCCTTTCATAGTTCAACAAATTTTGTTTATATTGCTATATGAATCTTACGTCTAATTTTCATTAGAATAAATACTAGTTTTGTTATTTATGCCATAAAATTACATGAAAAAGTATTAACATTCGTGGCATATACTAAACATCGTATGACTTTAGAAATTCTGATTACTACTCAAACAAACAAACAAATGATGAACAATTAAAAAAAAATCAGATTACTGGTTTATATATATATGCAATACAGACATTTATATGATGTTTGCATTAAACTTGAATCTAAAGAGAATAAATTGACTAATACTATGCAAAAATTTATTGATCATCAATAATTATTACATCATTTATTGTCAATGAAAAAGAACAAACAAATATTTAAGTTCATCTACTTTCGAAAATAATCTAGATAATCATCATTTATTTATTTTAAAATACAATAAAAAAAAAAAGTCTTACAAATATGTTTACTTAATCATTTATTTAATGATCTTAAAAGTATGAAAACAAATAGAAAAATATAAAATTGTATCAATAAATGAATAAAACTATCGATTAAAAAAGCAAACAAATTTTACTTGAATTTTATGATGAAGAAAAAAAAACATAATAACTCACATGAAAACAATGATACATAATTTCTTTTTTTTTTATTTTCTCACTTTAATATGTTTATATAGACTTAGAATTCTTAACCAATATGATTTATTTATATTAATAGCAAGTGTAAATGAGGTTTTTTTCTCTCATGATCAATCTCGTACTCATTTCATCAAACCATGTATGCGCCTTATAATATCAACATATCACGATATATAAACGTATATATATATATGTTAAAGGGAAGTGTCTATATATATATATATATATAATGTATATATACACATAGTTGAAGGCGTTCGTTTACGTTTAATTTTAAATTATCATTGCAATATGTTTGATTGAGTGGTAGATTGTATGTTTCTTTATGTCATTGCCATTGAAGAAGAGAAAAGAAAAGAAAAGAAAAAAGCTCATTTGTTAAGGGATTATAGCGCAAATCACAAGTGCATTTATAAATATAAATCAATACGTGAATGACAATGTGACCTAAAGCTCTATTTCACATACAAGTTCACTGTATACATATACACCAGAATTCTACAAACTCAAACATATCCGATTTCTTTCTACCATCAATCACAAGATGTAAGAAGGCTAAGAGTGTATATATTTCTATTATCATTAAGTATTGTCAAATAAAAAAAAAAAATTGAACTCTCTATCGCGCTATCATCACTATTATTGTTATTGCCATATAATTTATATTCGTATATGTATGCATACAAAATGATTGTATACTTAAAATTAACAAAACGATGTTATTGCGGTTAGTAAATGTGTATCATACTAAATTTTTTCCTTGAATAAAAGCTTTATTTCGAAGCCATATATTATGAATTTTTAATCGGAATTATAAATATCTTTCGTACAACTATACATCTTAGTTTCTCCTTCTCTTTTTCGATTTTATAGGACTTCTTCTGTACTTCATATACATATCTATACAATAGTTTGTTAGTACTTGATAGTTTAAAGCGAGTATCCTAGGCTTCAGTATAGTCAAGTGTTAGTTTGACTTTTAAGATAGAAACTAAATAAGAGAATAGAGCCTACTTCAATATGTTGTTTTCTTTATATCAACAAAAGCATCATAACGAGTTGGCTTGAATATAAAATGAAATAGCAACGAAGAAGAGAGTGAGAAAGAAAAAGTGTTTCTTTTCTCGTTCTTAAGAGTAGGCGGCGTCACCACCATCCTATGTGCACTTTTGTTACTCTGATATATACAATATATAAGCGATTAAAAAAAAAGAAAAAAGAACTGAACAACCCACAACCATTTATATAAGACGAAAATGATCTAAAACTGTAAATTTTCACTGTTGGTTAAATCGTTCACTTGAATTGTTTTTTTTGTATTTAAGGTATTATTACTATTATTATTTTTATTTTTATTCAATGTGCTATTGATATTATATAATCTGATTTGGTGTTGTGAATTGTTTAATTCTCCTTTTTTTTTTTTTTCTTTTTAACAATATTCATTCATACTTTTAAATGACAACGCATACAATGATGTCGTTTGATAGGCATCATACTATATATAATAATCGAACTTTTGTTCATACAACATATTCATCGATGACAAATCAATCATTTCATTCTTATTTAACAACATTACCAATACCATCAATTAATGTACATGAAAATCTTTTATATGATACAAAAATGGTTGATGATATTGGATCAGCTACATCATCATATATTCATTGTAATGAAAATTATGATAATCCATATGTGCATACATATGATAATCCAATTGAATGTCTTGAAAATGTAAGTTTATTATTTCTATCAAAAAAAAAAAAAAAAGATACATATATTTTAATCATGAATTCATTTTTAGTATAATATTAAACAAAATTTAATTAATCTTTCACATGATAATGAAAATTTATATGATAATGCACAGAATGAAATAATTGATGATAATGAAAAACATTATTCATCAAATACTTCTCATAGTACATCACCTATACTATTCTATCTTGAAAATAAAAGTTTAGCTTTATATGCATGTACTATTTCGTTACTTTTATTATTAATTATTAGTTTCGGAATATTTCTATTAAATAAATTTATTCGTCCTGCTGTTGTTAATACGACTGTTAATTATCATTATGATACAATGAATATATCGAATACATCAACAACATCAATCATATCTCGATCGACTATTTCGTCAACACTTCTTATACTATTAACACAATCATCAACTACTATTCCGACATCAACAACTACAACAGCAATTGACAATTTATCGTTTCCAAATATATTGTGTTCATCCGATCGTTGGGGTATTGGATGTAAAAATATCTGTAAACCATGTGGTCTCGGTATATGTCATCCAATTACAGGCAAATGTATCTGTCCAACAGATATTTATGGCGAATTCTGTGATTTATGGAAAGGTAGATGATATGATTCAAAAACAAAAATCTTTTTTTCAATTTTTTTCGATGTTTTTTTTTTTATAATTTTAGTTGAAGATAAACCAAAACGAGGCGATATGATGAGTTGAACTCTATCATTAGTTGTATATATTTTTGAAAAGATTTTATTGTTCTTTTTTTTCTTTTGTCTATGTGCAAAAAAAAAAAAAAGAATTTGAAGAACTTCAAGTTAATATTTTCATGCATTTTCAAAAAAAACTCAAAAATCATACATATTCATCGTCATCAATAAATTAAATGTTATTTCAATCATATATGTATAAATCATTTCACTAAAATTTATAGTCTTAGATAATAATCATACTATTTTTTCAAGGATATTACATATATATATATATATATCGATATCTTTTTGACAAAATGATGAACTTGAACGTGTCGATTCGTAAAGATGTGTTGTGATGAATGATATTATACATTTTATTAACAAATAACCTTCACAAATATGCATTATTAATATTTAATTTAACATATTTTACTTTTAAATATAGGTTGACTAACTCAGATAAATAAGAGAAAAAAAAAAGTTAAAACGAGCTATGAATTAGCCTTGATTTTTCTATATGATATATTATGACGCAATGAAGAAAAAAAAAAAGAAAAAGGAAAGACAAGTATGAAAGATATTGATAAATGTATTTATTCTTACAATTTCTCATTTTTCGACCTTTTACGTACTCACTGGTGCGTAAGGAACCTTGTAAGATGAAGGTTTCGTACAGTCTTCTTTTTGGTTACATTCATTTCTTAACATATTTATACGTTTGCTTGAATATCCATGCCTTGTGTTATTATAAGAAACAAATAAATATCAAAAGAACTAGTATTATCTAATGGTTGGGGGTCGCATAGTTGTACGTGGTGTTCCTTATCAAATTGAACGATCAATTGGTCATGGTCTTCATAGTCTTGTGTATGGTGCTCGTGATCCCCATACTGGACGACCAGTAGCTATTAAAATAATTAATTTTGATCATGGATCACATGATGTTAAAGCTCATACTGAATCTCGACGACAATCATATTGGAAAGAAATTAATATACTTTTACATTTACAACCATTAAATCCTTATATTGTTCGTGTATTGAATCATGATTATAATAATCGTCGAGGAATAATTGTTATGGAACGTGGTACTACAGTACGCGATACTCTTACTCGACATATGCTCAGTAAAACTCCAATGCCTCCATCTGTTGTACATCGATTTTGGACACAAATGGTTGAAGCTATTTATTATTTGCATCGAGCTGGATTTGTTCATGGTGATATTAAACCTGAAAATTTTATTCAAGTTGGTCCTGATGGTACATCATTACGATTAATTGATATGGGTATTAGTTTTCATTTACCACCAAATGTTACTAGTCGTTTAAAAACGGGCGTTGGAACACCAGGTGACTTTTTATTTAATTGATAAACCTTGAAGAAATGTTATTTTCTTTCGCTTTTTCTTTCTTAAATAGATTATGTAGCTCCGGAAATGGTTTGTTCTGGTTCAGGTTTTGGTTCACATTCAAGATGTGGTTATAGCGCGGATGTTTGGGCACTAGGTGTTATTCTATTTGAAATGACATATGGTTATCGACCATTACAAAAGATGCGGGATAATACAGCAAAATTCAAATTTTTGAATAGATTACGACAACGAGAGATTCCTATACCGAGACATCCTGATATGAATTTACGTAATGTACTTGGACGTTGTTTAACTTCGAATCGACGTCGACGTTTGACTGTTCAACAATTACTTAAACATCCATATTTCACTGAAGAATTTTAATAACAGAAAGACGACAATAACCAAAAAAAAAAAGATAATCTTTTTTATTTTTCGTTTCTATTCTTTATAAATTTTTTGACAATGTTTTATCATTCGAACAATCTATGCTTCGTTATTTAAATGATTGATTGATTGATTATAGATGAGATAAGAATTGCGTGTCTTATCTTTTATCATGTATTACTTTCTTTGTATACATGTATATGTGTGTACGAGCTATAATCCTTCTTTGGCTTTGTATATCACGTTTATATTTATCTATTTTTTATATCATTCTTGGCGTTAACTTTTTAATGATGTTTGTATTGAAAAGAATTTCTTTTTTTAAAACATTTTATTATTTTGTTTGTTAACGTTCAAAGAAAGAATGTTGATTGATAATGATAAAATCTTAAATAATCAAAACAATAGAAAACAAAAAATGTCAATAGTAAATAGATCAAAGGTTTATAACATTTGATCAAAATAGTGATGACAAGATAATAAGACATGATTATTGTTAAACAACCAAAATACAAATAAAATTTTTTCATGACTCATCTAATCAAAAATAAAATGAAGAAATATTCATTGTTTTTATTTTTTAATATTTATAAACATTCAATATTTATGTTATTGAGAAAAAGAATAAGAAACGTATGTTATCATATTTGCTAATGCATAGCCTTTTTTTCTTTATTAAATATCTGATCGATTAATTCGACATAGTTACGTAATAAAATTCATTGTCATGAGTAAATAACTAACGATTGATCGAAAAATAATTCGACAAAATTTTTTTTTCAGTCTTTTTTAAAGATCCTAGAGAAATTTGAAAAAATTGGATCTCAATTAAAATTTTGTATTATTTACAAATATGAGTTCAAAATTTATCTTGAATTTCTGTTTATAGAATTATGCATTGATCTTTTACAGATGCAAAAATTAAGTATGAATGGAGACAATTAATGTTTGTTTTTTGCATAAAACTTAAGTAGAGTTTTGCATAGGACTCCAACGAAGTTACATTAGTAGAGCAGCCACATAATTTTACTTGTACATAGTAACAACTTTATTCTTCATATGTTAAGTAATGAAGAAAAAAAAACCTATTAGACAAATATTCTTATTAGCAAATAGCAGAAAAGAGAAGTATATATATGATGATTAAAGGAATTTTCAGAGTTTCTCGGAGTCAAAAAGTTTGAGTGCTTAGGACACTAAACTGAAGGCAAAATTATTTTCTATAAAGTGATATAAGAATCAAGAGTTTCAAAACAATGATTCAGAAATGATCAAGCTCATTTTACAAATCCATTTTCTTGAGAAGTCGAGAAAGTTGTCGAAATTGTCACAGTATTCCTTATCAAAATACTCACTATCAACAAAAATATTTGTTCTTTCATGCACTATATTTGAAATAATTTTTGCTTCTATTTTGAGTAAGTTTTAGCGCGCTGAAGTTCGTCCAAACAAGAATGGATTTTTTCGAGTACAAGTACAAGTGTCAATCATTTGTACCAACCAAGAAAGAAACAAACAAGGCTTCGGTATACCAAAGTACTGAAGTCGCACTTTTTCCCTCTTGCTACCGACCTTTCGAGGGCGAGTACGCATTCGTACTTGCTCAACTCTAGCCCAAACTTAATTTACGGACCTCTAAAAGGTCGACACATAGTTCCTAAATCCATTGACGAGTCGGGAACGCTAGCGACTCACTAATATCTAAAACAGAAATCCTACAAAAAAAATTTGAATCTAGATTCAGAAAGAACACAAAAGTCTGATTCCAACCTAATATTCTCAAAGGCGACTAAAACAGTTTGCCTACTGAAAGGGATATATATATGTCACAGTTGACATGGGAATTTAGTTGAGTTTGGAATGCGCGAAAAAAAAAGATAGAAAAAAAAAGAGAAAATAAAATTAAACCTAAATACAGATTTGAAAATAGAAAAAAAAAGAGAGAATAGAAATAAAATCGTTTTCTTCATCAATAAATCTATTTGATTCAAATTAAATATTATTAGAATATTATGAATACCTTTTTATAAAAATTATGATATTCATACTATTTTCTTTTTACAAAAGACTATTTCATTTTTTTTTTGTATTTCTAAAGTTATATATAGATGATGTTTATAAAAATTGTATTAGATTGATATTAATAAATAAACAATTTATAAAAGCTTGTATTCGAAAATATTTTTATGCATGAAATCTATGTGTCACCATCATTTGTCCCTTTCATGTTTTCTTAGTAGAGGTTCTTTCCAACGAAACGAAGATTTAGTGATATCGCTATGATAACTTTTTTAATTAAGTTAATTCATGTGTTATTTCATTTTAAATTATCAAATTTAAATTTCATGGAAATTTTATTTCGAAATTAAAGTCATACATCAATAATCTTGATGAAAAAAG